AAGTAGGCAAGACAGAAAAGAAGAAATGTGTCCTCTTGTATTTTTTTCTTGAAACATGAAACCCTCTGAGATTATCTTTTTTCCCCCAAATTTGATAGAGATGTAAGTATGAAGAAGTGGGTCTCTACAATTGAAGAAAATCGCTAGTACAAGCGTGATGATAAATGTCACCTGGCACTGAGCCCCTGCACTGGGGAGTAACAGAGAATGGTGGAGACTGTGGCAAGCCTGAGAGCATATGTCATGTCTAAAGGGGACAGCCATTACTTAGCGCCAACTGATTATTGCTTTATCAGTTTATTTCTCAAGAGAAGGTGGATATGCAGGATTTCGTGTAAAAACTCCCAACTTTTATATGTTGGCTCAATTTTTTAAATTGATAAAAGCCCTGCCTTGATTCAATAGATCCAGTCACAGAAATGTCACTAATTTGCCAGGCAGCTTACTCCATGTTTTCAAAAGCTGCAATTGTAGAAAAATTTTTATTCATGTTGAATCAAAATCTGATTCTTGGTTACTTTCAAACATTACCCTGAGTCTGTGCTCAAGACCTACAGCATGAGTTGAATCCCTTCTCTCTAAGAGTAACCCTAAAAATCAGAAGATGGCGAATGAGCACTTTATCACCCTAAGTGCCCGTTTCTAAGATACACATACTCTGTTTCTCTAACAGTTCTTCAAAAATCCTTGAGTTCTCCTCTGGGTCAGTTCCAGGCTAGAGATATTCTCCTTAAAATATGACACGAGAACCCTCCAAAAACACTCTAGGTGTGATCTAACCGGTGCAGAGTGCATTTCTCCTCCTTTTCTGGTTAAAGTGTAAAACTATGTCACCCTGTTTAGCAGGCTGATCACTGCATCATAGTGAGTCAGTTACAGACCCTACAACCAGACTGCCTGGGTGCTAAAACGGGTTCCTCCACTTTTTAGCTATGAGACCTTTAGCAAGATTAATTATATTATGTAATTATATATGTTATTTGTGTATAATTACTTATACATAAATATATAATTGTATTATAATTAATAACTGCTCCAAGCCTCTGTTCTCAATTTGTTCATTTGTAGAATGGGACAATAATTGTACCTAACTCGTGGAGATGACTTGAGAATTCAATGAGTCAAAAATGTGTAAAGTGCTTAGAACAGTGTCCAGTACATAGTGTTGTGAAGGTGTTACTAATTATCACTATGATCCATAAGTATGCAATTAGTGTACTCATCTTGGTCACTAATAAAAATGCCAAGCTATGATAACGGCTGAGTCCTGCCACCGTGCCTGTCTCTGAAATGTCACCGATTCGGTCACCAGCTCAAAGCTGTCGGATCCCATATTCACTAACTCCGTGCTCTCCATCTTGTCCTTGAGAGTATCTGCCATGTTCCAGGCACCCTGTGCTAGGCCCGGAGGACACAAGTATAAATAAAACATGAGCTTTGCCCTCAACAGGGTCACAATATAGCAAAGAGACAAATGGTAAAACAGAGAGATAATCCCTGGGAGAGAGAGATGCACACAAGTGCCACAAAAGGGTACCCAGCTTTCATTCTACAGTCTCCTATTTAATTTCTCTAAATAAAATGGGAGGAAATCAGAGGAACACATTTCAAACACATTTATAAGGTTGTCATTATTTATGAGGAACCTCATCTTTCATACCCTCAAGGTCTGTCATGGCTCTTGACTTTCACCTCCCATTTTTTCAAGAGGTATTTGTTATTTTTGCTAATTTGGTGGTATTTTATTTGCAGGCAAATTACTTGTTCAAAAGTCACTGACATTCCAGTGTCTGCTCCACAGGAGTTTTTAAAATTCATTTGGAGTCTTTGATCTTATTACTTGACCATGAGTATGGTAACATTAAAGTTATAGTCAACCTTGAAATGTGTTTACAGAATCAATTCAGATCTCCGTATACATCCCATTACTGTGTGTCCCCGGGCTGGTAGGGAAGGCTGCTCTCCTGGTAGCAGACCAGCCCTCTGCTTTGCACATTCCCGCAGACCCAGGGACTCTGTTTTCTTTTAAACACCGTTAATAGTTTCTTTGATTTTTATTGGTCACAAAGGTTATGTTTGCCTTCCCAGTGATCTCATTCTTGTCCAGTACTGTCACAAAAAAATGGGAATAGGCATCAAATACATGAAATCACTCAACCCACAAACAGGTACTTGACCTACATAAAAATTTCGTAGGTCCTTTTCTTCCTTCTCCCGTCTTATACATTTTTTAGAAGAAAACGCTAGAGTTGACTTGCTTTGCTTTTCAAATTGTCAACCAAAGTGTTCCCTGCTGTTAATTCAGATAACCAAGTAATTAATTCTATAAAGTTACTTAATGTGGTCAGCCTCTTCATAGACAGGTAAGTTGCTGAAAGGTTATCTTGCCAGCATCTGATAATCTCTGGATTCTGAGAAGTTGGAGAAAGCTCAGAAATGCACTCAAGTAGGTATCAGGAACAAAGCCAGATCTTGTTCTGCTATTAAATTTCCAAACTTGTCACCCTCTAAGGTTTCTATTATTTTTGCCACTCAAAGTCCACATAATCTGAAAGCCTCTGTCTGCCAATCTCCATTTAGAAAGAGAAGTTGTCTTTCCTTGTTTTTTAATTGACTAAGCACATATTTTCGATCAGAGCTTCTGAGCCACGTGAGAGAGCTAGTGGTACTTAAATATAATTTCACCCAAAAGCTAAGAAACGCACACTTAGATACATGGCAGAGCTTCATTAGGAGTCACTAGTCATAGGTACTGAAAACAGTTCACAGACCCATGTTACCACCTTCAGGGGTTCCTAGTAGTGAACCACTACGTGAAACATTCAGATTTACATTCTTGCAAAAACCTTTTCGAGTCGCAGATTTCATCTGTTGCCTCACAAGTGAAACAAGTCCATTTTCTTGGTCACTGAGGTGTTCCCCAGGCCTGGCTTTTCTGCCTAGAAAATGCCATTTTTGTAAAGAGCTGTCATGCTTCATGTTCTTTGGCTTATGATTTAGCTGCTCAGGGAAGGTACAAGCTGCTCTTGCTCTCTCAGTGCTGATAATACGTGTTTTTGTTTTATTAAATCTTTAAAACACTGGGCTTGTTGTTTATGACCCCCATATATTCCTTTGTTCTTTTCCATGACTGTTTGGATCACATATTTTTTCTCCCTTTGTAAAAATATCAGTGCCTTTCAAAGAACATCATGGTCTCCGGAATGGCTGCATAATACAATGGAGGAATGTATTGAGCTCAATACAGGGCTGCCGAGGCTGTGACTCAGGGCCGCTTTGTTGATGGGAAGGCTTGAGGCTTCTCAGACTCACAGCTCTTCCCAGACTTGTTTTGACAAATTCGAGATCATTTGATAATATTCACAGAGGTTTGTGTAAAACAAAATTCCAAATCGTCTCTGTTTTAGTTGCAGACAGTTGTTTGTGAATAAAAGTTACTAAGAAACCCTGAGTTAAATGGAAGCAAGTTCTCATCCAGGTGTGAGCTTCTCGTGCGCACTTAAGCACTGGAGCCCGCACACGCTGTGCCAATGTAGCTGAATTCTTCTGACCGCAAAGGAGACTTCCTTGAAGATACTGAGGAAAAAGAGGACATGTGCAGCCAGCCCTGAATTTGGGCAAATGTCACAGGGCCTGGTGCTCCAAGGCGTCTCATCTGTGCACGGCGCCTGTGTCCCATAGGACAAGTTCAGTTGCCATCTCATGATTCTGTCCATGCATGGAGGGGATGCAAAAAGTTTTAATTACTCTTGCATCTAACTTGGCTACCTTACTGATGTGAATCCCCAAATAAACCACTCCATGACATCCAGTTGAACTTGTTCCTGTGCATACAGTATCTCGCAGCCCATCCTGTACTGTTAGTTTTGGCAAGTATGCTACAGCATATAATAAATCATGGAAAGAAAAGCTTTGTGGCCTAGAGTGGTTCAGCTTGCTGTAATGTCAGAATACAGAAAGCAGTTCTGTTTTTAGACATCCTTTTACTAACCCAACATTCATAATTTATGATTTCACTGTAAAATTCCTGCAACACGACACCAAAAGTAGTGCTGCCCTTTAATTAAGTACTCTCAGTAGGAAAAACGTGAAACTGATGTGCAAAACATCTCTGTGTGCACAGTGATTGATAGTGATTACATCTTTATGAACCCAGCCTAGAGGTCTCAACTTCCTGATGGGTGAACTAGTCTATAGAGCGACTTCCTGAGTCTGCTGCTCACCAAATTGGAGATAATTCGGAGACACAATTTAGAAAGATTTAGGTTTTAAGCCTGCATCTGTCTATACTTTGTCACAAATCTATGAGACATCATTCCTTGTTTTTATGATAAAAATCTGTGACCAAATTTCATGTCATTTTTACACTCAGAGAGGTTGTAATGCAGAGAATGAAGGGTCGGGGAGAAGGTTTCTATGAGGGATCTCCATTGTCCCATGGATTTATTTTTTCTGAAGACTGGAAAGAATGGGTGACAGAAGGGACTTCTGACCCTATTGGTGCATAAATAGAACAAAACCAGAAGAAGACTTTGAGTCGTTCCATTTTTTAAATTATATTTCAAACATTCTTCTTTTTCCTCAGTTGAAAAGAACTGTTTCATTTTTGAAAGAGTTCTTCTAACTGCTAAGAGACTAAAATCCCAGGCTTGGTGGTCCCCAGCTCATCACTGTTTTGACTCTGGTTCTATCCTCCATCAACTAAGTAGTCACATCAGCCCGAGCTCATACATAACATCTTACTGAAAGGTAATTAGAGTAGTGCGTATATCTGAAATACTTCAGGTTCCTTGAAAGAAAGGTAATAAATCTGCCCACAGTGATACTACTTGTATTAAGTAAGCTCTTTGGTGTAAGTTCAACTCTTTCGGTCATAATTACAACCACCGAAATTAAAATGTTATGCAATAACGTCACTTAATCATCAGCGCTTCAAAGATTACTTTTTTTGGAACTATGTTGATATTACACGCATGTGTTTTTTTCTCGTGTTCTCGCAGATTTGGGCCAGGCCTAGTCATCTATTGGTACGGATTTATCCAGGAGCTGGACTGTAACCGGGAGAGGGGCATCCTGCTCAAAGCCTGTTTCCCCACGGACATCGTCACCTTATGCCATAGCATAGCCTGACCCCAATGATCCTGGAAGAGAAGCTGGGAGGAAAAGGTGAATCCGGAAGCAATTTTACTTTCCTGCAGCGTCAACTCCTGGCAACATCTGCCCTGAACTCCAGCTGAACTCTTGCTGCTCGTGGTCACACCACTACCTCTTTAGACAAACATATCAAGAGTTTCTGTTTTCCTTCATCCCTTGCTGATGTGAACAGCCAAGAACTACAGACACAAACCACTCATTATCAGCATTTCTGTCTCTGTCAAACAGTTAGTTTATAGATAGTCATAATCTTTCTTCCTTCCGGATGGTTTCTCCTTGAATACTGAACAAAAGAAAAAATGTGGACTGAAAGGTGTGATTTTTCAATTCTCCTCCCAGTTACCGAATCACCCTCTTTTTTTTTTTTTCCTAAGCTTCCATTCATTCTCTCCCCCTCCCCCTTTCTCTTCACGTACATACACTCACAGATACCCAGTGTTGCATTACCGTCATGGAATAATCTAGCACAATCCTAGCAAAGCTGAAGACATAAAGCCTGAAACTAAAATTTCACCCTCACCTGCAGGGCTCCAGTAGACCTCAAGGACAGCCTGGGCTGCATGCTTGTTTTGTCCAGTCTTAACAGTTTCCTGACTTCTTAAGCCAAGCTGAAAAATATACTTGATGAGAATTTCCTCTTTTTATAATACTTATTTGAACACCAAACATTTTCCATTTATCTCACTTGAAAGTATTAGTTACATTGTGTTTGGAAACCACACTTCTGCATTGGCTTGGGGGCCGAGGGGTGACACTCGAAGCTCGGTGCCAGCTCTGACAAGAGTTTATTTTTAAACAGGGCTAGTTGTCAGTATGTATGATAGCATTTTTATGAGTCAAATTTTTTAAAAGCACATTCTGTACGCTCCTTTTTATCTGCGTTTTATACCACGTAATTATATAACACTCAAAGAATTTAGGCATTAGAAATGTTCGGCTTGAATGAATGAAGTGTACCGAAAATAAACCTAGTGTGACTTTCAATAGGCAAAATAAAGGAGAGTTTGTATTTGTTCACTTTAATTTATTCACTTTTTATGCTGCGAATCAAATTTCAATCTGAAGCAAAACATCAACAAAGTCATTATAAGACTATCTTTGAAGAAGTTAAAGGTTAATCGATACCCAAAAATGTATTTAGTAAAATATTTGCCCCTATGTTGACAAAACATAATGACTTGTATAATGCTGAATTGGTGAGCTTGGAAATATTAATAAAAATGTAAGTTTTTACAAACACGTTTAAGTTATATACATTGCTTGGTTCTTCTAAAAGACTCTACCATTAGTACTTTGTTCATTTTGTATCTAAGAAGGTTTGCAAAAGTCTGCCTACTGCTTTTCCTTTTGAAGGACACAAACATGTTGGGTCTGAACATATGGATTTTAACTCTGCTGAGGGTTACATTAAATGAAAAAAAGAAAGAGGAAGACCATGAAATGATAAGGAAGTAACAGGCAAACTTCTGTCTCACTGTAAAATGCATCTATGCAGTTTTTGTGAGTGAAATAGAATGATTTGAAACCACTGCTATTGTCTCGACACACACACACACAGACATACACACATGCCTTAAAACTGTTTTTAAAAGCAGTTTTCATGGCTTGCTCTAAACTGCTTTTTCTTCATTAGGAATAAATTACATTTATCTGCACAGATGTTGAAAACCCTGCTAAACCCTTGTCAAGCATTTGTTTATTTTACATTAAACAAATTTATGATGAGGGTGCACAAATAAATTAAAAAATAAAGGTGATGTTTGCACTTCGTACTCAGTCTTCTTCCCGGTGCCCTGACATAATGTGTTATGAGAAGGTACTGGTGTTCTCAGGCAAAGGCGCCACCCCCTCTTTATGAGTAAGGTTTTAAAATGTGTCTCTTAAAAGTCGAAAACAAACTAGCAGTCAACTGTGCATACTTTGATAAAGTTGCAAGTTATTCAAAACGAAGCTTTTTCCCCGCACAAGAACTAATGTGATTATTATACCTACGACTTTCCCGTTGGAGGGTTATGAGGGGAAGAGAGTAATGTTTCAAATTGGAAGTTTAAAGCCTCCTTGTTCTTTTTCTTTTATGTTAGAAATACTTATCTGTGTTATATCTGTGTGTGTTGCTTGTTTACTTGTTTGGTTTTTGAGTTTAGACAATACAAACATCAGCCCTGGAAAGTAGTCTTGGGATGACAACATTTTTTTTATTGCTGTCGTCATTAGAACATTAACAAAGCCAGATCTTGTTTTATGGAGCTCTCTGCAAACTGTGCTAATGAATTATGCCAACCCAGAAAGCCGGTGTGTGTATAAAACGTAAAACTGAATGATGATCTCCCTGGCATATATAGACTTGCCAAGCATCTGCTTTCACAAACAAGTAAGAGACCTTGTTGGAAGTATGGCAGGGGATCAGCTCAGAGCAAAGCTGATGCAGCACTGATATTTAAGGTGACTTCATAGACTCCTTCCCCCTCCCCCAATGCCAACCCAGAAAGCCGGTGTGTGTATAAAACGTAAAACTGAATGATGATCTCTCTGGCATATATAGACTTGCCAAGCATCTGCTTTCACAAACAAGTAAGAGACCTTGTTGGAAGTATGGCAGGGGATCAGCTCAGAGCAAAGCTGATGCAGCACTGATATTTAAGGTGACTTCATAGACTCCTTCCCCCTCCCCCAACATTCCCCCCCCCCCCAAAAAAAAACCATAATGAAAATAGTTTTTTCTTTTGCCTACTAAGTGAGGTATATATCAACTCGTCTAAAGATTCTTAAAATTGAATGTAAAAGGGAAGGCTCAGGGGTCCAAAGTAGAAAACTGGATCTCCAGGGGAAATAATTTTCTTTTAACTATAGGTGTGTGTACCTGCTCATTATCGGCAAGGCTTGATTCCACCCTGGAAAAGATGATAAATTGTTGGTCTTTGGGGGGTGCATTAACTCATTGATGCCGCCAGGGGATTTGCTTAGAGCCCTGGATGAGGTAATTCACTAAATGTTCCCTGGTGGGCCACACTAATTAATGCACAGCGTCCTAGTGAACAGTTAATTCACTTGCCTCTCACGGAGGAGCTACACCCATTGTTTCCTTTCCTCTCTGGGACGGAGATACCTCGGATGTCTGCTCTTTTGAACCTGTTCTCTGCGACAGACCTGGTGTTTCGTCCCCTCACTTCCCGCCTCTTCCCGGCCATCTGCCCTTTCACTAGCCTTTGCCATTCTCCTCCCACGTGGACATGTAGTCTGCACTTTGTCACTACTCCTTGGCTGTTTCTTCTCTCTAGAAACTGATCCCAGGACCAAAATCCATTCCATCTACGTCCACTCTTTGGAGTGGAGGTTGGGGTAGGGGGGCAGTTGACCTAATAATCTGAGGAAAAGCATACCTAAGCATCCTCCACATGCCAGAATATTCAAGGGTGTGTGTGGCACCTGAAAGGTTATAAAACTTGTGACTAAGATAATAAGATTTTACAGCGTCAAATATGACAGGAGTTTTAGCCCATCATTAAATGTTTTGGCAAAAGGAGCCAAAGAACATGTGAGGTTTACAGCTACTTTCAGCCTGAGTGGTTTTGTGCAGCTGATAAAAATTACAAATCAATATAGTAAAATGCCTGTATGGTTTAGAGAAGCACTTGTAGCTCATTCATCTTGGGGGTCAGCCTGTCGTTTTTCATGTGATCTGATGGAAGCAAGTTGCCTCAGAGCATAACTATTTTGTGACAAAGATGGGAGGAGAAAATCTCCCAACTGGCACATTCTCAATTAGCGTTAAGGAACAAAGCAGGCTTAAACAGAGAGGAAACCAAAAGGTAAACAATGAGAGTTTGCCTGCAGTGTCACCGTTTACAGAGAATCACCTCTCTGAACCTGTCTGTCAAGTCACTCTCAGGTCAGGAAGGGTCTTTGGATCATCTCATTGTTTTACCCAAAACCAACCTTCCTATGTATTTATAGCAAACATGGTCTGAACCTGTGTTACTAAGAACATGCCTGGATTCCAAAGATTAAATAAGGAAGATGGAATTATGAATTAAATAATAACCAGAACAGCTCGGGTTCCCCTTGTGTTTTTCACTTTCCTGCTATTGTTTTGAATATGGCTGTGAGACAAAGGGCTGCTTAGGTCAAGCACTGTAAATTACAGTTTTCATACAATAGTAATCCACTGAAATGATTTCAAAGCTTGATCAAAGTACTTCAAAAAGACTTTTAAAACTTTTCCACAGTCCAGGGGGGAGGGGAAACGCTCATTTGATGCCTTAATTTGTTTCAGTCAGTGTACCAAAGTTCGATCTTGGCGTCATACCTACTTTATATAAAACCCGACTCATTAAATCCAACTTGTTCTTATTGTCGTTTCATGTCTAAGTACGGGGGATTTATGTTTCCATCTAGTTAATTGGAACAACTAAATATTTGGAGTCACATAATGTAAGAAAAAGATACTTTAGCATTTTTTTAAAATAAGTTTAATTGTGATACTCAAGGTATTTAAGACTAATTCCCTGTGCTTAGAATAAAATGGGTATCAGTGGATTTATGTGGCATTTTAATAATAATCATGGCAACAGATGTATTTAGTTTTTCATTCTTTTCCCCTCGTCACTTGGATTTATCTGGAGCTGTCTCATATCGTAGAGGATGTTACAGAGTACCCTCGTGATTGCAAAACTAAGCAAGTTCTAGGCCCAACCACATATAAAGATACTGTGGGGCTGCTGCAACGATGTCAGGCTCAGCAAAGACCCAAGGTACTACGTCAGGGTAATTTTTATTTTTTAAAAGGAAGGTCATTTTGAAATGCTGACATGAAATATAACCAAGTCAATTAAGTAATAACAATTGAGGTTCAGAGTTTAATTGAGGGCTGAACATGAAGCCAATGACCGTTAACCTAAAGCAGTCATGAATTCTCCCTGGAAACCGCTTTGGTTAAAAGTATCTCTAGAATGACTAGCATTTTTTAAAGTTTTTTTGTCATTTTTATATTCAACACAGATACATTCAGAAGTAACAATTTAGCGTGCCTATACTAGACTTTCTATTTAATTTTATTTCTATTTTAACTCAAACATCTTTTAGAGGTCAGATCAAAATTTAGGTAATCAAAACCACCTCTGCAGGAAACCATAGTTTCATAAGTAAACCAAAAGATGTAAGCATCTTTTATTTGATTGCACCACATTTATCTCAATTGTTGACTTATTTCTTTCTGTAGTTGTTTAATGGCACGATTTCCAACTAGATTGTAAGCTCCACAGAGTAGAAACTGTGTTTATCTTGTTCCCTGCTCTACTCCCCAGTAGCTAACAGAGTTCCTGACACAGAGCAGGTGCTCAGTAAATGTTACATGAACAAATGAGTGACTGTGAAATTTATATTAAATATGTTCTCCCTTGCATTAAAGAAATCATTGGAACCTTTTAACTGTTTTTTGTTTTCTTCAGCTGCAAATTGGGTGTATTTACTGGAATCAGAGGAAAGCATCATATATGTTGATGTTAATTAAAGAAGGAATTACTTTAGAAACCCACAAAATCTGAAATAAAGCAGATTCACCAACCAGAGTATTTTAGGCATGTACGGTTTTAATGGAAATTCATGTAATTTTATTGCATTTGTCTTAAAATTAGCCTTAGAACATTATCGTTTGTCCAATATGATGCTAAATAAAATAGACCATTTAAAAATCTTATCTTTGTTTCTCTTCTTAGAAAACGACTTCGAGCTTATCTTTATATTTATATTTTGAGTTAAGAAACAGTTTCGCCTAAAATCAAGTCAGGGCCCCAAATCAAATGTGTTTCAAAGACAAATTTTGGGATATTCAGTGGAGTTATTTGATTAATTTCAAATGGTACTTTTAATTGCTCACTTTTATAATACTGCGTTGATGGCAAAGTGCTTCCTGGCCACAGAAGTGGCTGGCTGGCTCAGGAGAGAAGGGTTCTTTGGCCATTTGCCAACAGGATCTGACTTCGGAAAGACCGTTGTGAACGGCTCAGTGGGCGTTTCCCTGTTAGTCATTAACTCAGAGTATATTATCATTTGAAAGCCAAGGGCATTTGGCATATTTCCTCATATTTTGGAAACTTGTAACACAAAAGGAACTGGAACTTCCACATTTCTTCTTTGCTCTGCCAGTTTCCCAGGACTTAATTCACTGGGGCCATTTGGTGCCTGATTCTTTCCAGGAGGACCTAGAGAGAGCAGATACCCGATACACCTGAGACCGGGTCCACTCCGGCTT